TCTCTCTCTCTCTCTCTCTCTCTCTCTCTCTCTCTCTCTCTCTCTCTCTCTCTCTCTGTTTTTAAGTAAACAGACTTGTTCCAGAGGACCCGTCTATTAGGTATTCGGGCCTGCTGGGGTGGTGGGGGCTGAAGGCACAGCCTGGCTCAGCCCCCAGAGCTACTTATCTGAAGAGGATACAAGTAGGAGAGAAGCAGGAGCCTAGAGTAATGACACTCAGTGCAGAAATTAATAATGTGTGACTTTGGAGGGTCTCCTCTTAGCTTGGGTGTGGACGAGTTCTGTGTGTATAAATAGCCGGCCCTTCCATTCCAGGGCGGCCCCTGGTAAATGGCTCTGGCGAGAGCAGATGGAACAAAGGGCAGATTAATGAGCGCAAGTTCGGTCGCTACAGGTTTTCTCTCTCTGCGCTAATGGAGGGCTGTCAAAACCACCAATTTGCTTCATCGCAACACAATACTTGATAAATGAGTAACATATTTATATCATGAGATATATGGGGTGGGGCAAAGCGTGCAGGAGGGAGTAAGAAGTTACCAAACATTCACAGGCAGACTCAGAGTTTGGCCTCCACTCACGATATTCACAGCTCAATGAAAGGGCGCAGGTGTAGTTTAACCCTTTTAGCTTGTGCCAGAACTCTAAATTCTTTGGAAAGAAGAAAGGTTCTAACCTAAACTACAAACACTTTAATCAAGTGGCTTTCTTCACATGCCATGAAAGCATTTTGAAACATTCAAGTTAAAAAAAAAAATCCTTATTTTCTGAAAATATAACCTCTTGAACACTAGAGACCTGCCAGACCAAGTCCCATCAAGTAACAAGGCACAATAAGAAGCTTAAAAGGGGTTAGGATTAAGTTACATTTCTATGAATAAGCACGCTTTTGTTGTTCACGTCTCAATCCTTAAATGATCCTGACTCGTGTGTGGAAGGTGTCTCCTCGGCAAAGGACATCTGTGTTCTCAGTGTGGGTCCCAAGGAACCAAAAATTTTCCCGGGGCCCACCAGTCTTCATAGACAAGTAACTCACTGACAGCGATCATTCAGGATTTGCATGCTGTTTAACCCAGCCTTCGGTAGAGACCCTCTTCTTCCCCAGCCAGGGGTTTCTGAGTCTCCTCACCACCAATGAGAAGTCTTTGCCTGTTTGCCCCACACGGAGCACAGTTACTCCCCCACTGGCTTTTTCTGAGACACTCTTCCCAAATGCCTTCTTGGTCTTTATACTCTCAACCCAGGTTTCCAATTCTCCAAAATGTGCCAGGCGCCAATAGAAGCAGCCAACTCAAGAAAGAACCCAGCGGGTCCGCTAGCACAAAGGATGCCCGTTCCAGCAGCCTGACACACTGTCCACTGGGTCCTAATACGGACCAGCTCCTGCTTTTGATGGACGAAACGGCATCCGCTCCCTGTCTGCCTCAAGTCTAGACAGTGTCTCTGAGAACTGAATGTGCACCCCTCTTCCATCTTCCACGCAGGCGCACACATCCTCTTTTCAAGGAAAGCTGTAGTCCCCATTCAAATAAGGTCTTCTAAATTCTTCCTTACCATTTTGCCAAGCAAGTGAGGGTGTGTTCTGGAGTCCTGACAAGAGTAATCTCAGATATTCCTCTTCCTTTTGTCTCAGGGCCAGTCAGGCCCCGGTTTATGTGAACTTCTCCTTCTCATGATTTGGCTTTGGCCTTTCCTTCTGTTTGTCGACATCTCTCTCCCCACACCCTATGCTTGGCTTTACTAAATCTTTTTTTTATTATTTTATTTTACATTCCAAATACAGTTCTCCCTCCTATCCCTCCTCCCTCCCTCCTTTCTCTCCTTCAGACCACCTCCCACCTACTCCTTCCAACGGGTAAGGGCTCCCATTGGGAGTCAACATTAAGTTGGGGCAGGACCGAGTCCCTCCCCGTTCATTAAGTCTGAACATGGCACCCCACCACAAGGTTTACAGGGAATGAGCTCCAACAAGCTAGCTCATGCACAAGGGATAGAACCTGGTTCTACTGCCAGGTGCCTCATAGATAGTCGAAGAGTCTGCTGTCTTCCACATACGGAAGTCCTAGTTCAGCCCCATGGAGAATCCATGGCTGTCCATCTAAAGTTCCTGAGTTTCCACAAGCTTGGTTCAGCTGTCTCTGTGGATTTCTCCATCATGATCTTGACCTCTACTACTAAATCTTAACAAAATAAATAAATATATATTTTTTTAAATTCTTAAAGAACTTCATATAACATGTCCTAATCATATCCAGCCCCAGACTTTCCTTCAACTCCTCCCAGAACCGACCACCCAACACACACTATTTTGGTTTGGGTTTTGTCTTGTTTTATTTGTTTGTTTACTTATTTGGAAGTGACTAAACAAGCAGATGTCTCGGTCCTGTAGTTCTTACAAGCTTCCTATTTCTGCTTGCTCCGCGTTCCCTGAGCCTTAGGTGTAGAAGCTGTCTTGCAAATGTGTCAGTTGGAAGTGAGTGCTCTGTGGTCAGTATTCTTTGCATTTTGACCTTTCTGTAATAATCTGTTGCAAAAAGAAGCTTCTTTGACAAGGAGTGAGAGCTACACTCGTCTGGGACTATAGGGTTAAATATTGAAAATGCAGTTAAAATACCATGCTGGTTTAGAAAACTAGCGGTAGCGGGTTGTCCTCTAAATTCCAGCTACATGCAGTTGACTTAATTTGTACTATTAGGCGACAAACTCCCTTCTGAAGTCCTTAAGTTCAATTAGGTGACTGTTGGTTCCTTTTGGACATAAGAACCATTACTGCACCTTTCAGACTCTTTTGCCATTGTGATTTGTTGGGGCTGCAATTGAATAGGAGGACTACGCATTGCTTTTGTCTGTTGGCACCTTGCAAGGCCAAAATTCTACCTGAGCTCCTTAAAGTTGTGCAGTAATTAGATCCACTTTTTTTTTTTTACTAATTTATACTAAGATCTGATAGCAAAATAATAATCCTTTCTTTGGATATATGGACTTGTATTTAAAGTATGTGACTTTCATTTTACGAGACGACTATAGTTTTAATTACAATGGAGAGTGTGATCCAATGAATTCCAAGCCAGAATTCCTAGTCACACCTCTACACAATCCTTAAGTAATTTTTGTGACCTTTCTCTCACAACTTGTTTTGAGTCTAAATTTCAACATCTGTAAAATATGGTAAGCATCTTCCTCATAGGATTGTTATACAGAGAAAAATATGTATGTGAAGGAATTTTCAAATGTAAAATATCAAAACTCAAGAACTTCTTAGAACTCGGAACCTTCAAAACCAGGCTGCCTCTGACTTTTCAACTTTATCTCCAATTATTCCCTCTTCCAGTTCTTTCTCCTTGACTCACCACCTGGCATCTTGCTCTCAAAATAGGTCTTTCACTTCTGGATAATAATAGTTTCTTTAACAAATAACAAAATGTCAAAGCTTAATGCAGGAGAAGCTTATTTCCTAGCTGAGTGTGGTGGTAAATGCCTATAATCTCCACACTCAGGTTAAGAGAATAGCTGAGTGGTGTTGGCACACGCCTTTAATCCCAGCACTCTGGCAGGCAGAGGCAGGGGGATCTCTGTGCGTTCAAGGCCAGCCTGCTCTACAAAGGGAGTTCCAGGGCAACCAGAGATACACAGAGAATCTCTGTCTTGGGCGGGGGAATAGAAAGAGGTTAATATAGCAGAGGATAAAGGGGCCAAAGTTCAAGATCAGCCTGAACCACATAGTGAGTTCTAAACCAGAGAGAGAGAGAGAGAGAGAGAGAGAGAGAGAGAGAGAGAGAATTTCTTGCTCACTTAAAATCCAGCATAAGCATTTCTACTTGCCAGGCTTTCTTCCAAGTGAGGACTAAGGAATTCATGAACCTTCCAATTTATGCCTTTACAGGTCATTAGCGTGTATCTTTCAGGATCAGAGAAACATGGGCAGTGACATGTAGAAGATTCTCACAGGTTTGTATCAGCGCTCAGATGTCCAGTGTAGTCCACTGGTAAACACACAGGTCATTTTGTTCCACCAGTCAATGCACACAGCCTCAGTCTATTCTCCTTCTAGTATATCCTTCAAAGATCTGGATATATCGCCATTATCAGGATATATCATCTCACTTGTGAAGTCCTTTCAAACATGCTAACTGCTGTTCTCAGTCTCCAAACTCCCACACATCCTGATCCCATTAACGCTTGGTCTCACTGCCTTTCCTTTTCATAAAGTCATAAAGACATTTCTTAGCTCCATTTCTTCTCGGGCTCTCTGACACATGTAAATCTGAAATTGCTTTTCATGAGCAAATGCACCCATGCATTCCTGGCCCTGACTTCAGCCCTTCTTCATCCTTCTTGTGAGATCTACTGCTGGCTCGGGTCTTCCATCCCCTGAGTAACAGGAGAAGTCACTCTTCCACAAAATGGTCTTCCTTCCATTTCAAATGCGACATGCCTTCCACATCTAAATCCTGGATCAATCACTCACCTTCGCTCCACAGCCATTATCCCGGGTATCTGCAGGAGTTCTGTGGTGACTTGTCTCCAAAGATCAAACAAATCTCCCTTCCCTCCGGGGTGAACTAGCTCTTGGAATCTATGCTCTCCCTCTTGATAGGCTCTTCCCTTTCAATCTGGTTTGCCTTATGTAAGTGGCAGAAGTTTCCACTGCTGTAAAATTTCCAAGACTGAGGGTCTGAAGAATCTAGACTTCTGAGAAAGACCCTTCTTAGAGGATTCACCATTAAGAAACTCAAGCCACGCAGCAATCTGCTTGACATTCCCACCTGGCCAACAACAAACATCAAATTGTAAGCATGTGAGTAAGGCCCGTGGTTCCGTCAGATTTTGTCAGCCTCAACTACCAACTGACTGAAACTACTTTGGGATCTTGAGAAAGAATTGGCCATCTGAGCCCCATCAACCCTTCCAACTCAAGAGATAATACTAGTAAAATTGTAATGATTTATAGCAATAATTTTGTTCCACTTACTTTGATAGGGTTCCTTATACCACAATGGGTATGTAAAATAATGTAATATACTGTCCTTCCAAATAATTTTCTCAGTAGAGATGTATTTCCTAGTTAAAGAGAAAAGTACCCAGTCTTTACATTGGCGCAATTATGCTTCTTTCTCTATCCTGAGTCATCCACCAGAATAGAATCTCTGTCATTCTAGAGCCTGAAACTTGCATGTTCATCATGCTGACTTCTTTGTATACTGACTCAATAAATGCTTTATGAATAAATTACTGAATAGCTGAATTATTATGGATTATAAAATTAATTTCTAATTATATGTCATAGAGTCTTAGTAGTAGCTTTTGTTAGCAATTCAATGATAGCAGAGGAATGGCTGTCATGGAGCACATAGATGCTAGATGCTATCTTTTAATAATTTTTAATTCTCTCAGTAACACCGACATGCTTCATAATTCACTTTTTATAAATAGAATAAACCAGGGTTGAGTAATCAAATTCTTTATCAAACATCCCATTTAAATATTTTTAAATTTAATATTCTTCTGCTTTTAAACCTTTTTGACATTTTTCAAATAAAATCTGTTTTCATTTTTTTACGCGTTTTCTCCTCTCCCTTTGCCATCTTCCTCCCTCCCCCATGAAAATTCATAGTAGGCCATCCTGGGTAACAGTGATTGGGAGCCTATGGTCAGTCTTCAAAAGCTAACCTAAAATCCAAGAGGCATTGACTAGGGAAAAAGGCAGCCTCAGACAGAGATCCTCCAGCTCCTAAAGCTTCTTCAACTGCTAAGCCAAGTTGTGTCTGTTTAATAGAAGTTTGGCTGTGGCATGGCATTTAAGAGAGTAGAATTAGTATTTCTTTGTAACTAGTACTCCATGTAATGAATGCAGTCTGTAAAAGAAACAGTAGTAACAATAGCAATGAAAGTTAAGATGCTAAAGTTGTAAACAGTAAGGAATGTTTACAAAACTCCACTCACTTTCTATCATGTTCATTAGTGTGACAAAATAAAATTCTCGAAATCCATTTTCTGCCTATATGACAATATGGATTCTAGTAACTTGGTGTGTCCTTCATTACTTTTGGCAATGAATGGAATAAAAATTAAAGTGCGCTTTGAAGAAAGCAGAAAATTAAGGAATTGGATTTAGTGTTGCTTGTTCAAATCAGTTTAAAATATTTTTAATACTATCAAAATCCATTAAACCCACCTTAATTTTTAAAATAAATTCCAGTTCCCTTTCCTCCCTTCTGCCTGGAAAATCTTCAGCTGCCCAGGGCCCTGGGTCAGTTTGGAAACCTCGCTTTACAACCACTAGTGAATCCCAAAGCCTTCCCTCCTGCTCCAAACAGCCCAGTCAGGGAAGTCTCCCGGTTCTGCAGAGGCAGCCCAGCTGGCTGAGCCTGTCCTTTGAACAGGCACAAACCTCACTTTTCGTTCCGCTGTTGACAGCTTGGAACGGTGTAAACTCAAAGTCTCCTTCACAGTTATTCATGCAGCTCGGCTTCTGCCCTGTAGACGTTCCCAAGCAGATGTGCGAGTGCCCAACGACAATTAAATTATGACTCATCCTCCAGAACGCCTGCTAAGGCAGGCTGCCTGGCTACCAGTGAAAACATTTTAGCAGTAGCTGATCTTTTCCGTTGGTTGAGGACCAAGTCAGACTAGGCATGGCTTTGAAGTTATTTCTGTCTCGGTGGATTAGAGGTATCAAAAGAAGCAGCTCCGCAAACCTTCCAACAAATATTTACAGTTCTGCACTAAACAACCTCCACTATACTTTAACCTTTACTGCCTTGTGAACCGCTTGCCAGATTTCTCGCCACACTCACGCACTTGCCAGCATTAGGAGAGAGGGCAGAAGCTCCGAGGAAATGAAGTGGAGAACACCAAGGAGTCTTTTCTCACTGTGGAGGAAAACGCTGTCTTTCCATGTGAAACCTAGCCACAGAGGTGATTTTTGCCTTCCACTGTCTCTTCACCCCACAGCACCTCAAACAGACAGGCCTCTGGCCCTTGGCGATATTTCTCTGGCCCAGAGGGACACTGGCTGCCCTGAAGCCAAAGTTTCCAAAGGTGCCAAAGGTTGACTCCGAGCCAGCCAGGAAGGACACTAAATGCCTGCAAACACTGAGTGTGTGAACACTGACTTTTTCAGCCCCTGGGACATCGCAGAGTGTGCACCCTCCCTCCGTGGAGGTTTGTAAATGGAAATGCTTGACGTTGTTTGCTCCTAAAATGATGAAGGGATTAGTTTGCTGCCTTTGACCACTCTTTTCTAGTTTTAAGATGCCACACTGTGAAGACCAAGGTCTCATAATAGCTAGCATCCACAGAATAAAAGGATGGGAGAAAAAATTCAGAAGGTGGACAATAACAGTCAGTGGGCTGAGAGCGATACAGTCCCAGCTCCTTACTCCTGTCTGTTTCAACGCCCAGGAACCATTCCTCAGTGGAGGAATCAAGCCCGTCAGCAGTAAAAGAGACCCACAGGAGCAAGGTGCACCATTGGGCACCCCAGGGACGTCTTCTCAGCAACAGAGGAGTCACCAAAGTAAGGCAGAGCTGGGAAGTAACAAATGACGTAATAACCAGCAGGGTTTTTCTTAGTCCCACAACGTGGCATCCAGGGACCTTCAGATTTTTTCTGTACAGTCTGAATCTCCAGATCAATGACAGAGATAAGAACCAACAGAACACATCACACTGTTAATGTACAGTCTTCTATTACCTCAGACTTGTGGAGCTAAGAAAACAGACTAGAAGTAGATGGACTTAGTGATTTGGTGACAATGGTCTTGAGTGTTTTATTCATTATTCATTTTTGTATTTATTCATTAATTCAATAAATGTTTATATCTCTATGTAATGGGCTAAGTATAAAATAAATTATTGCTTTACCATTAATTTATTAAATTATTATGCCAATGATGTATAATATATAATTGTAATTAACTGTATTAATTATAATTAACGGTTAAATTATTAATTAAATTGAGCATAAGTCTTGCTTTTACATTAATCACTATGTGCACAAATATTCAAATGTAGGTTAGAAATAGATGTCTGGTCACATTAACACAGATAAAGTTTAACTAGTCACATAGGAAAAAGCAGATCTCTCTGCTGAGAGAATTTAAAAGGTGCTTGCATGAGTTCAAGGCTGATAAAATCACTGTGAGGATGGTGTGGGGCTGCAAGACACAGGGCACGTTCTTATAAACTGATGAGGCTTTGGGGGACAGCTGGGCTAGTAAGAAAGGCTATGCTCTCAACCCTAACAACCTGAGTTCAATCCCTTGGCACAAAATTGTTGAAGATTCCTGTAAATTCTGTAAATTGTCCTCTGACCTCCATATGCTCCACATCACCACCCATGCACGTGCATGCAAATGCGCACGCGCACGCACAAACACACACACACACACACACACACACACTCACACACATTCACACACAAACACGCACGCTCACACACAGTCACTCACACAAATACTCTCATACACTCACACACACATACTCACACAGACATACACATAAAAGTAAATAGATAAATCTAATTTTCAGTGGAGGACGATGGTACTACCTGACAGAGATACGCAGGCTACTGTATGAAGTGAGGTCAGACAGTGAGATAGTGGGGAAATGAGTTGAGAACCCCAGTCCTTCATGAAATATGACAGCCACTTTAGAATGGTTAGCCTAACTCAGTAGCCAAGACAATTTTTTCCTACAGGGCTACAGTCACGACCAAACGTTATAGTAATCTCTATTAACAGAAAAACTCAGTAGATGTCCATTCAAGGTTATCTAGATTGCTCTTTTCATTTTATGTGTATGAGTTCTTGCCTGATGGGTATTTGGGCACCACATGCATACAAATGTCCATAGAGGCACAGAAGAGGACATCGGATCTCCTGGGGCTGGAGTTACAGATGGTTGTGAGGTGCTATGCTGGGAATTGAACCTGGGTTCTCTGAAAGAGCAGCCAGCATTCTTAACTGCTGAGGTATACCTCCAGTTCCAAGATCATCTAGCTTTCAATTCCAAATATAGTTCTTCCTATTACCAAGAATTCTCTCTCGGGCTACCAGATTTGATATGTGCCCAGGGAGTTCTTTCATAACCCACAGATCCAGTCATAATTTCTTACTTCACTCAAATATTTTACAAAGCCATTAGTTCATAGTAGCCTCTCTTAAACCTTGTCAAAGCTGTTACTATGTGGGTGTTTTCCTCATTAATCATGTAATAATAGTATAACACCATGCTGACATTGTGAATTTTGTTTTGAGCATATAACAAAGCCAATGCTGTACATCTTACACACTTGAGACTATGAAGTTAGAACAATGGTCACAGCTCCACAGAACAACCATTACACTGGAATTTGATCATTTCTTTTGGCAGGAAAGAGTTCCATGCCACTAAAGCAGCTCATAATATTTTCTTTGATTTCAGGATTTGGAAACCTAAAAGGGACTTAAAATCAACGTAATATTTTCTGTTTTTTAAAATTTAGAACACACATCTGAAATTTAACAAAATATTTTAGGGAAAATGTACACAGGCAAAATGAAGAAAAATGAATTGAGCATACCATCAAAGGCAATATTTTTAATAAAGAAATAGCAGCTCCATATAAATATACCACAGTTCTTTACATTTATATCCTTTTCTGCATTTAGATTGATGTCAATCTTCCAATTTTAAAAGCACAGTCTTGATGCTGATATCTAATACTTGCTTAAATTTTCAATTATTTCCTTAGGGAAAAAAATTAGAGAAGGCTAATTTCTCAGTCAAATGAAAGCCATATTTTAAGGGTTTTTAATGGATACTGACAAATCTTCCCCAAACACATAAGATAATTTAGTATCTTTCCTCTAATAAATGAAAGTGATTTATTTTATTATTTGCCAATGAAGATACACCTTATTTTCTTTAATTTGTCCTCAATCATTGATATTGAACATTTTACATACATATAATTTGTGACGTTTTTTCTTTTTGAATTATTTTGAATTATTTGAATTCCTTTTGTAATTATTTTCTCTTATACTTGAAAATTGCACACCTGGAATTTTTACTTTTAGCAATTATATATACGCTGGATTTTATATTCATGTGTATATATATATTTATATAAGCACACATGTTTTCTATATATATTTTTGAGACAAAATCTCATGTAGCCTGGGTTAACCTTCACCTCCCAAGCGTTTCCTTGCACTGCAGAATACACATTTTAATATCTGTTTATGTTTCCATTATTGTAGTGCACTGAAGTAGAGAAATTAAATTTAGTCAAAGTTTATGCACCTTTCTGTTTGCACAAGTCTGGATTTGGTGCTAAGTTATATTAGAGAGCCTTAGTCTCCTTGGAAGTGATTTTTGTATTGTGGTGACAGAGGAGGTGGTTCCCCTGCATTTTCAGCAAGTAGCTATCCAGTTGTCCCAGTACCGCTTAGCAAAACTCCCATCCCTTCCCACCATTTCCCCCATATAATTGCATACCTATTTTTATAGGCAAAATGAATCTGGTCTAGGCTTTCTGATTTGTCTTCTATCAGGATTCTATTCCTTGACTGGTACCATGTTCTTATCACATCTTATAAAGGCTGATATGATGAGATCTTAGAGGTTTATTTTGTTTGGTTGTTTGTCTCACACATCTGTGTTTAACATTTTTCAACACATGGTGAAAGCATTCAGCCATATATAAAAGCATATAAAATAATTTTTAAAAAGCACCTATAGATCTATCACCACACTTATGGCTTTTTAGTATCAGCAAAACAGTTGCTGCCTCTGTGTGTGTCTCTGGTTACTGCTCAGTAAAGAGAGATGACTGCTGTCCTATCAGTGTCCCTGGTATTTGCCACCCTCTGCACCCTGATCACATATGCATGCTTTCTTCACAAGAGCCACTATTAACATTTTTGGAAAGTTTTATTTATATTGTGTGTTCATATTGTTTACTATTTTTATTGTTGTTGCCTACCATTATGTCTGCAGAGCTTATATGACTGATACATGTAGTTCTAGTGCCTACATTCATTGTCTCAGAAGAGCCCATTATAAGGGGATGTATCACTGATGGATACTCTTGTCTGTCTCTGAAAACCTGTACAGAGGTTTCCTTAAGAATACATCCTCATGAGTGGAAGTGCTGGATTAGGAACTTAATGCACCTTTGACCATAGGTAGTGTCTGGCTGCTCCTGAGAGCACCCAAACATTTACTTTCCTACTCCACAATCTCAGCTTCTATGCATTCAAGCGCGTCAACTTTCTCAATCCAACCAATTCATTTTTTCTAAATCAATTTAAAATATTCATTGTCATGCTTTAAAGTCTTTAAATCACTGAGCATTTCAATAGAATTTTTAACTTCAGATGTTAATTTGGAAGGATCAGCATCTTATATGATGAACTCTTTTCATTTCAGAATGTGACCTTTCTAAACCTTCGGCCTCATCCTAAAGTTTTGTTCCTTCTCATAGTCAAGAACAATTCTTAAGCTAATTTATA